TGCTCTTGACCATCTCCGACCCCTACACTCCGACCATCTCCGATCATATTTCTCCACCGCCACCGACCTCCATTAAGTCGAAGTTCGCTGGAGTTTGTTGGAGTTCGCTAGATCTCATATTTAGGGTTTGACCTAATTTTTGATAAAATATTCAAACTTTTGGCTTTTCTCCTAATTTTTTTACATATTCTCACTATTTCATCATAATAGCTTGTTTTAGTTTAGATTTTGGATTAATTTTTGAATTTCTTTGGAATTTTGCGAAGAAAAAATAAGGAAATTTGATGGGAAATTAGAAAAAATTGTAAAAATTAGTGAATTGAATTGTCAAAAGTGAACATTGTTAATATTATTAAAATTAATTGAAAAAATTAGGAAATGAAAATTTTAGGGTTTGACCAATGGTAAAAATTAGGAAATTGTAAAAATTAAGTGTAAAATTCTAAATTAGAGAATTTAATTGTATATATATTTTTTTAGTGTTCTTTGTGTAATACTAGTTGATATTGAAATTTTTTACTCAAAGGTAACGATGAACAATTGATTCTTAATCATCTGTTCGTATGATGAGAAGATCAACTATCTCAAGAATAATATGCATGTATATGAAGGAGGTGTGATGAAACCGTTGTTTATATCCAAATCATGTACCTTCGATGGATTGGTTAATGACTTACACAAACTTACATTAACTAATCCACGTGAATATCACCACAACGTGATTTGCAATTACCCCGTAACAGGAAACAAAACAAGCGGCATTCAAATCTCAAGTGACTATAACATGGTCTCAACTTCATATTGAATGACGAGAAGCATTCAGTAGAATTATTTATTGAAAAGCATCACAGAAATTTGGACAAAGCGATGAATCGCGGAGGAGTGTGCTCTCGCATATTGGAGGACCTCGAAGCAACGTTTTTTGTCTCCACAATGAGATATGAATTGCATTCAATGACAATACTTACGCGGACCTTCGCTTGCAAGGACTTCAAGTGCTTTTGATGATAACGCTCTCCATCATGATATAAGGCTTTTCATAGGAGTGATGATAGAGGAGAATGCAAGTGTCAAATCTGAGGATGATGATGATGAGGACGATTTACAAATTAAAAGCATGACATGTTTGATAGATCGTGATGAAGGGAACAACCAATTAATCGACCGATATTACTCTAACAATGAGTATGTCATATTAAAGGACCCGCTACTCGATGAATTTCATGGAGATGGATGGATTGGTAACTCAACAATGGAAAATATTCTCACTGACCCAAATTTAAATGATGATACACAACGCGATGATTTCACATTCAAAAAGGGTGATCTAGCTAAAAGTAAGGAGAAATTGATTCATACGATTCGTTTATGGTCCATAAAAAAATACCAAGTTTAGACAGACAAAAAGCAATGGAACAAGCTATAATGTAGTTTATTTTTACAACAAAAATAGTGAACAAGAAGATGGTGCTCACCACAACGGAAATACAAAGTGTCCTCGGAAGCTTAATTCTAATTCACGCTTGAAGGTAAGAGTAGGCGGGCAACTTAAAATAACACTACAAACGGCGTTCACACATAAGCAATCTTCTATTAGAGATGAATCATAAACATGCATCCGCCTCTTTCATATATCGAATAATTATGCCTAACTAAGGGAGGATCTCGATCTATAGCCAAAGAATATTTGTATTTTAGTGCATGAAGCGACCATCTTGAACTTGTCATATAGCTAAGTGTTGGAATGCTTGGAGCAAGGTGATGATAAAAATAGTTGGAGATTAGGAAAAATCTTCTGAGATATTACCACATTATCGTGAAGCACTCAAAAAAAAATCAGATGATAGTGTACTAAGTATCATCGGAACATGTTGACGGCAGAGATAGACGATTCACCGAGATATATTGGACATTTGATTGTCGCATCAGAGATTCAATTATTGTTGTCCTATTCTTAGAATTAACGGCATCCACTTATATAGTAAATATAAAGGCGTATTACTCATAACAATCGTAGTAGATGCAGATGGCGGTTTATTTTCTTTGGCCTTTGCAGTGGTTGATGTCGAAAACATCGAAAATTGGTCATAATTTTTTGCATGTATTAGTTATTATACTCCTAGTGTGCGAACGTGGACAACTACATTTATATCTGATAGGATGAAAGAAATTCCAAAAGCACTCCAAAAATATTTTCCATCATCCCATCAATATTGCTATTGCTTACAACATATTAGGGATAACTTCAAGAGGAAGCATGGACAAGTGCATCTCTAAATCTCCTTTGCCAGGTTGGATGTGCAACGGAAAAATTAATTTATGAGCAACTACGAGAAAATATTAAGTCCATTTCGTAAGCTGCACATGATTGGATCAATACTAGTTTAGGACCTTTAGGTTGTGGGCTTATGTGAAGATGACAAGAAAGAAATTTGTATGATGATCACAAACGCTTCGGAGAGTTTCAATGATGCGTTTAAGGGAGCTCGCAATAGGTCAATACAGTCATTAATTGAAAAACATTTTACACTTAATAGATTCTTCGTCAGACAACGTACATTTAGAGCAAATATCCCGTCAGAGTTAGCCCCAAAAGTTTGAAGGCGTATTAGCAGATCGGATTGTTTATGCTCGATCATGTCGTGTTGTTAGATACAATTTTAATGAATGAGAGGTTATTAAGGGAATCTCACACAGAGAAAGTCTCTCTTACAAAGTCAATATGCTTATGGATTATACTTGTACATGCACATGCAATATAACGTATTACAATAGCTTTCTTGTGCCCATGTTATAGCGGCTTGTTCGAATTTACAAGGGGTGAGGATATCACATTATGAATTCACCACAGAGTGGTATTCAACTTATAACTACCAACAAACATACAATGAGTGTTTTCATCCATCGTACGATAGTCGACATTGGACACAAGGTGGGCCACAGATTTCACCTTCTCTGTATAAGAGAACATCTAGGCGACCTCGTTACGTACGAATTAGAAATACTATGGACGAAAGACAAGGAGTTAGGAGGAAAAATAGGTGTAGTTGGTTGGATCAAAAGGCCACAACAAAAATAGTTGTCTAACTAGGCTTAGAAGTTGATTATTTGTGGCTTGATTGTATGGAATATGTGACTTACTTTTTTGTAATATATAACTTTTTTATTGAATCTTGAATGTAATATCCATGTAGTGTGCTCTTTATATACTGATATAAGCTACTCCTTGCACATGTTTTATTTTTAATTTCCTTGTGTATGCTCTGTATTGTTCAATTCTGATTGAATACATCTAATTAAGTCGTTCAACTGAAGAATCTAATGTATTATATTTTAACTGTGGAGAGATACACTATGGACCGTGGATCGATCCAAGGTCATATACTATACCTTCAGACCAGTCATCATTCGCAAAGGATTGGCTTAGGATAGGTAAAATAAATATATATGTGTGTTCCATTTTTACGTGAGTTTAAATTTGTGTATTGAGAAATGGAGGATGATGAGTACTATAGTTTGTTAGTCAGGTCGTTTTTTAGATGTTCTTCGGTGAGATCGATTAGGCTTGACTGGACCCTTATCTGTGCTCTGATTGATAGGTGAAGGCCAGAGGCCAACACCTTTCATATGCATATAGAGGAGTGTATCATTACACTTCAGGATGTAGCCATCATACTTAGGCTCTGGATTAATGGCATGGATGATCATAATTGGGAGAATTTATGTAAAAGGCATCTTGGGTGGGTTCCTCATTTGAGGAGTGGTGCGATGAAACTATCGTGGCTTCGAGACGCGTTTATGGGCAATATACCCATGGACGCCACAGAGGTGAAGATTCAATATTTTGCTCGTGCTCACATATTGCACATGATAGGTTGTATGTTATTTCTAGATGTGAGCAAAAAAATTGTACATGCACGATGGCTGACCCTACTTGAGGATTTTGAGATGTGCGGCACTCTATCATGGGGAAGTGCGGTATTGGCATACCTTTATAGAGAACTAGCCAGGGTTTTCTTGATGGAGAATAAGGATTTCAAAGGGTGCATGACATTACCACAGGTTTGGTTGTGGGAACACATTTACATTGGACAACCTACTTTACAGACGCACCGCAATCTACAGGATCAGTTGTCATTATGATGCAGATATAATAATGCGTGAATTTAAAATTATTTTTATTACTTAGTTTTATCCATATTGAATTTGTTCTCATATCTTTTTTATGTCAAATAGGTATAATGTGAGGAGGTCATCCTACAGAACCCCGATCAGATATACAAAGTTTTATAGAAATGACCCAGATATTGTCCAACACAAACAAATAAAATAAGACACAATTCAAAATTTATATTCAAATTTTTTTGTTGATGCTAATACATGTTTTTTAATTTTAATTTTTAGTTCAAGTGAGCGCCCCCTATGCTCCGCAAGATCTCGACTCCCTTGCACCTATTTACAGAGATAGCATTGATTTGTGAAGGGCTAGTCCCAATGATCTGTTTCGACTTCAAGATTGTGGAGATGCATGTGTCAGATCGTGTTCTATGACAATTTAATTTTGAACAGCATGTGTCGGTTTCTGTTGAGCCTATTGATCGCATGTGACGGATGATATCACATCATGTGGACTAGAGGCGATCCTGTGAACCCTACATAAACAAGTGGAATGATAGGTGAAATCTTATAGAGAATGAGAGAAATCCAGTGAGTTATAACGAGTGTATGCGTTGGTATTGGGATATAAAACGTAGATGAATCGTACGCGACCCACACCCAGCAGCTAAATTCATACCACGTCCATCGCCAGACACTTACATCCCTAGGGCCATGATCGAGAGAGATTATATAAGTTTTTAAACTTATTTAAAAAGAATATTTTTCTTTTGAAATTATATTATTTGTTAAGCTGTGCATATACTGATAAACTGTAAACTCATGCATTTGATGAGATTGAGGGAGATATAAATGAGTGTATTGCTGAGAGTCAAGATCCAAAAGCAATATTAGTCTTCAATAAGATCAGACAGAAAATAGCAAATGTGTTTCACAGGAATCACATAGACGAGTTTGAATGACGCAAGGACAAGACACGCCAATTTTTAAACGTGTACGCACAAAACGTAAAACGGGTTCTAGTGCGACGCGTGATGATGGAGCCGACACTTCTCATAGTATGACGTGTGATGGAGTCGATACTTCTCAACACAACCAGATACTCAGATCATCGAGACTCATGATCACGGATGTCGGGGGTAAGATCGATGGGGGGAGAGGTAGGGGAACGGGTAAGAAAGGGAGAGGAAGGAGGAGAGGGTATTTAAGATGTATGTGATGTTTATCTTGTAATATGATGTTTATTTTGTGATTCTCAATCTTGTGAATATATATGATTAGATTGTGGCTGGATTGTTCGAAATTGTTGCTTGTTTGGATAGCTTTTCGTGTATATATGTGGTTGAAATTTTGTGTATACATGCGGTTGAAATTTCGTGTATACGGTTGGATTTTGTGTATATCGTTGCAAAATTCTATATACATAACAGGTTGTGAATGAGGAGAAGTCATTGTGCGTGCATGATTGTCAATGTGCAATAACTTCACGAGATTTTGAATCCCGTGAAACTGCAGGGTTGGTTTTGCAGAGAGTTCAATGTGGAACTCTCTGAGCTTACCCTGCAGCTTAACGAGATTCAGAGTCCCATAAAGTTCGCAGGGTTAGTTCCGCAGGGAGTTCAAATTGAAGCTCTCTGCGTGCTTGCCTACAGCTTCACAGGATTGACACTCCCATGAAGTTTGCAATCAACGAAAACTGCACGAGATTAGCAATCCCGCGAAGATTGTTTTATTTAGAGCATGCATTTACTCTAGCTTAATTTTGTGCTAAACTACACGAAATTCACAATACTGTGCAGTTTTTTCAACTTATTTAGCATTTGTGACCCATTCCAGCTAGCATTTGCGACCTGTTTCAGCCACCTGGCTAAAACGGCTAACTAAAAGTGAAACAGGTTGAAAATTCTAATTAAATTTTAAAAAAGGGTCGGTTTTGAAAAATGAAACTTCCCATCACAACACGAAAACTACATGTATTAAAAGAAACATCTACGCCACTTCATTCCTCCTCCGTGTAATGAACTACATACATCCTCTCATCCCCAACCATCATATCTAACATAAAACTCTAGGCCTTTCACAAATGCTTCTGGAATTTCCATATTTATCAATGATGTTGATGAAAATGTTTTTTTTTGTTGTTTTTTTGTTTTGTTTTGTTTTTTTTTTTTTTTTGGGGGGGGGGG